TAATAATCAAACTACAAATAAGTTAATCCAAATACTAACATGGAAAGAGTCATTTCATATACCAAAATACATGCACAAATCATCAGTTTTATTCAAGTATACATGTATGGGTGGTCCACAAATCATTAGTTTTATTCGAGTATACATGCACAAATCATCATTTCAGTAACTGCATGTTCAATTTCCTTTAAAAATAAGTTGTCCTAAAGCAATAATATATGTAGCTTATTATTTAAAACATAAGCTGTTAAAATGCAACATGTATATGTGATTTTTCTTATTTTGCTCTATGCATCACACATATATTCTGGTTCAGTTTCCACATTACTTTACATGCTTTTCGAAAGGTTATCAAACATATATTCTTGGATTAATGGCCTTCTCTTTTGTTTTTGTGGTTATCAGGTAAGGTTTCTTCAAAGATTTGGAAGAGAATATGAATCTACTACCATGGATTCTGAGAATCTTTCCCCAGATTCTTGGGCTATTTCCCTTTTCCTTCTAGTTTCAGGAGACAATCCATGGATTTTAGGGCAACAAGTTGGGTTCTTTGATTCACAAGAAGCAACTACATATATTCAAACAACTAAATGCAACTACATATATTCAAACAAATGAGGCAACAAGTTGGGTTCTTTGATGAGTGTAGGGGAGGTGGAATATACAATATTAACTGCAGTCCAAACATTGCTAAGCAGTTAAATCCTTTACCATTTCCTTCATTATTCAAACAAATAAATGCAACATGAAGATACCATTTCACATCCCTGTAACCTTGGAATTTACCTTCATCATGCATGGAATTGGTTGGGCTTGGGGAATCCCCTCCTTCGCAGATCGAAGTTGGGTTTGTACAACTCGATTTCTAGAGTTCTTCATTGGTTCAATTTCAGTACAGTCAATTTCTACAATCGCGATTGGGTTAGGAGATTAAGGCTCGCAATTGGAAAATTAGGGCTCTTTCAATTGAATGTGTTTTTTGCGTTTCAGTGAGATGAAATCGGGTTTCACCGAACGATACTTCTTCACGTGGCAAGAGATGACGTCATTTGTTGCCATCGAGGACAAAGTTATGCCACCTCAGAGGCCCTTCAAACGTATGCTTGTAGAGTGACAGACGGAGCTGATTTCATGTGAGTTCAATGGCCATTCACAAGCATTTCAAAGTTCAGTGACCGTAACATGACAATAGGTGAAGTTAAGTGAGTAATGAAACTTTTTACTCATAAAGGAATGAGTTTCTTAGTTTTACAGGTGAGCCAGATAAAATGAAAGAAAATGGAAAAATAGCTTTGAAATAGAAGGGAAAAAATGAATTGGATGTTGACAAAAGGAATAATTGACACGTGTCTTCTTAAATAGTGCCAAAATTAGCCTCCATATTATAGTGATATATATAAGTAATTACATGTCTTGAAATCATCCAACTTTTATAATCATCCTTAGATGTAATGAATTTTCTCTTCCTCTGCCTCGTGATTTTTTTACCGTCTTGAATTTCCATGTAAATATTGTGTTTTTGTTCTTATTTTTCATATCGTCAATTCTCATTTTTCGTATAGGCCATCTTGGTCTATTTTTCTTCTCTATGTAGGTGAGCACATTTCACATACAAGTTAATATCACTTAATCCTATCAAATTCCATTCTGTCTCTTGCACTTATTATCTCCCGTTTGGCCGTTAATTTGACAGTCGAACTGCAAACGATCGTTGAACATTTTTCTTGGCTGATGACTCTTGCCTTTTAACGATGTGTTTCAACATGAAAGTGGTGTTTATGTGGAGGAGATGTGGTCAGAATTCTATTGGTCACGTGTCCGTCGAATTTTGATGTTAATAGATAGTTTTCTTAGAAGATTATGAATGTTAAATGCTACCATTTTGGCATTTTCTGATTCAGGTTCTGGTTCAGCTTAGCTTTTTAAATAAACAAATAAATAACTTGAAAGATAAGAAAAAAATGGTCAAAATTGAATATATGATTTTGGAAATAAGTCCACCTTAATGTTAAAAGAACAAACTTTTTGAAGGTTAAACATGCTTGGAAAAGAAGAAGTTATTAAAAGTAAATTTTGAAAATTAGCCAAACATACGTGAAACTGCAAGGAGTTTACAAACATTACCCTGCTCAACTCTTGTGCAACAAATTCTCTGTTTTACTCCTACAGTTTAATAAAACATAGCTAATTTAACTGCTTAAAATCAAGGTTAATAATATATGCGCTGCTACAATATACAACACAAAATTCACATCTATTCAAACAACAGTAAAAATAATTTTGTGGCAGGGACGGGTTAGGCTGGTAAGTTTCGACGCCATTCCATGATAGCCAGGGTGGCAGCACAATGTGCAAGTGCTGCTGCAACAACCAAAACGTGAAAAATTTGATGGCTATGTCCTACGATATCGAATGTCCCAGGTTTCCATCTTTCTGGGATTCTAGTTACATAAAACACGGCCCCAACCGCATACAGAAGTCCCATAGCTATCTCATAGCCGAGTGCGACAAGTATTTGTGGATGATCCCAGTGAAGGATTAGTGAATGAGCAGCCGGAATCACACCAGAAAACCCCATGGAGAGGAAGAGGGCTGCCCTGAAACCCCGAAAACGACCACTGGAGAGAGTCGGTGCAAGGAGGGTGATAACAGCAAGAATTCCTACTAATGTGATTGAGCTCAGGTACATTAGGCGCCAATGCTGGTGATTTGAGAACGTATAGTAAATTGGCGCGAAAAATGAGCAGACGATCATGAGAGATATGCCAGCATAATCAAGGCGCCAGAAGAACAAGTAGAAACGTTGTGAATGGCAGGCGAAAAGATGGGAGATTGAGCTAAAGATCAAACAACTCATTGCTCCTCCCAAGAAAACAAACCAAGGCCATGTAGGAAATGAATTGGAGTCCGCAGTTGCAAGTGAGACTGATGCCTTGGGAATATGTCCTACGTAAGATTTCTGCACATCAAATATACCTCAAGTTAAAGACAATCTAAATTGGTGTTCGACTTAGCAACCTAAAAAGTACAGGATAAGACTTAACAAGTCTAATCTATTCCAATCCAAACTTATCGACATTCAATATTAGTAATCTACACTTGCAGATACCTCAAACCACAAGCCATATTGCCATGGGATAATACTAACTTCAGCGTTAGTAACTTAGCCCATGTTTGATTGAATCGTGCTATAGTACTAAATTACTTGACATAATCTTTGACATACTATTTTAAATATAGTCAGCTTTTTCATCTAATCACATGCTGCCACCTCAAATTATGTCAGTGCACCTGTTAAATTTCTTATGGTAAAATGGCAAAATCCTTTTAAAATTTGAAACTTGTAAAGTTAATCTCTGTAAAAATATATCCTACCCATTTGTTAGCACTTTTTCTTACTTTGAAATTATTTATTTATTATTCTTGTTGTTTTGAAGATAAAATATTTCAAAGAAATTTGTTCGACAATCATATTTCTCCAATTCTTTTTTCTGCATACTCATTTCAAATTTACATTCACACGATAAAATACTCTGTATATAAATTCAAAAAAAAATTATTTTTTAATCACACATTCTTTTAAAAATCACTATTTAAAACTATTTTTTCCAAAAACACGTTGGTCAATCAGGGCTAAAGAAAACAAATAACTTCACATGGAGCGGACCCCACAGAACAGTCCAGATTCCTCATTGAGCTCAACTTCCTATAAACATGTGATAATTTGGTCCCACATTTTGTACCAATTTTCTATAAAGTGTATCGCTATATCTACAAAGTGGTGATGATGCTCGTGTTAAGTGCCATTGAATATCATTTCACCCCAAGGCTGAAATCTTAAGAGCAAGACTTACGGAAAATAAAGAATCTGAACCGTTGGATTGATTCGTTTTCATGTCCAACCAGGCATTACTTCCTTCTCTGCAAATTCAATTGTCAGTGTCAGTCAAAAGTCAAAACTGGTAAATAGGCTCTAACAAATTGAAATCAAATGACGAAAAACTCCTCCAACAGTATACGAAATTACCCAAGGAAACTTGCCATCACATTCTCCAGAGTCATCTTCTCTGTCAAGCTCATTACCGTCAATCCAACAAATATAATAAAACCTAACAAATGTCTGAAAAAAAAAAAGATTCCAAATTAATTGAATTTTCAGGATCGTGAACATTTGCAGGAATTAAATCTACTTCAGAAATGATGAAATTAAAGTTCAGGAACAGAGAAATCGAGTTAAGATCAGATCTAAAATTGAAATAATCCTAAGTTTAACGATTGAAATTTCTTCAAATGATTGAAAGCATTGCTCGAGATAGATAATAATTAATCAAATAAACTTACGTCCAAACATTGAGAGTTTCGTTGTGCAAAGAGAAAAGGCTAAGAACAACATGCTTCAAAGGCCATTCACATCGATAATAGTCCGTAATGAACTCATTATCCTTTAAATACTCTGGCAATTCCTCGTACTTCAACAGCTTTTTCTCAAATTTCACCTTCTTTTTATCCGCTTTCCGTCGATTTCCATTCGCCGGCGGCCTCGAGTCGCTTCTCGTGCTTCTTTTCCTCATTCTCAATTCTTCGCCGGGGAAAAAAAAAAAGAAATTCTAGATTAACTCTCTCTTTCCCGGCGAAATTGTGACCAGAATTCCTTTCTTCTCCGGCAATCCTGCTTATATAGCTATATATACTCACGCATATATACAGCTATATGATATGCATATATATTCTACATATATGTGTCTTTGCGTGTATTTTCCAAGTATGGAGCTTGAAAGATTGCTTCGGAGAATTTATAAATGCAGCGAATATTGTGTGACCGTTTTTATTTTATTTCTAAATTTTAGTTAGTAATTGTCGTTTTCGATTATTTTCCACTGTGAACGAGACTATGTTAATTAGATAGTCTCGCTCTCTTATTAGACATTTAATTGTCCATGAACGTTGACAGAAAATATGACCAATTACAAAGTCAAAGTCAGTTAGGTAAAATTACCCTCTAGATTTTTGTCGCTCAACTATGCAGTTGCTTTAAGTCCCTTTTTTGGTCAAAAAATGATATTTTGTTGAAGAATGTGTTGTTAGAAAATAATGAAAAATTTTGAGCTTACGAGTAAAATTATTTTATGGGATAATGTTTAGTTAAAAATGAGTTTTTTTTAAAAAAAAAAATGAGGGCGTAATATTAGCTACATCGAATTACATAAAAAATCAAAAAATTATACATTTTTTTTTTTAATATGACACCATTATTTCATATTAGGTGTGTATCAATAATTGTTTGATCAAATTTTAAATTTTTTTAGCCTCTGTTTCTCATTTTCTAAACTTATTTTCAACTATGGATCCACAACTTTTATCAATTTTTCGACCATACATTTTATCAATTCTTATCAAAGAACCTGGAATTGAAAAATCTTAAGTGGGATGAGATGGGAAATCAATGAAAAATCTACTTGCAACGTTTTGCATAGATACTAGAATAGTTGTTAAATGTACATTATTGAGTGGAGAATGCATCTTAAATAGTGATTTGATAGAAAATATGGTTAAAAAATATTGAAAAGTTTTGAATTTGCGTGTAATATTATTTTATTGAATAATGTGTGATTAAAAATGAATTTTTGTAAGAATGTGGATCACGAATGTAACTTGTAGTTTTCACTTAAGCTATGTTTGATAGCATATATATTCCTTGGAAAATATTTCCATGTTAAATACATGTNTTCCTTGGAAATATTTCCATGTTAAATACATGTTTGATTGGTAAAATTTGGCGAGGAAAATATTCCCCCACCCACCCACGCGCCATGGGAACACTTCAGCAATTTATTCTTTCCACACATTTTTCACCTTGACAATCAAACGGACCATTAAGTTTTTTTAAAATATTCCTGATTGAGTCTCATTTTCTAAAAACTCTTTGTTTTTTCAAATTTATTTTCGATTACAAATTCTCTCAATAAAATAATTTTTGCACGTAAATTCAAAAAAATTCTAACTTTTTAACCACACATAAAAAAAAAATCAATATCACAGAATTTACTTTTATAAAAAAATGGGGGCTTAAGCGTAGCCTTAAATTCTAAAACCTTGTTCGATGACTGGGTCTAATTTAAGTAAAAAGAAAGCGTAAAGTGAAAAATGGAAGTTGATAGACAGTTCAACAAATTAATTACTAGGTTTTAACAATGTTCAAAACAAAAAAAAAAACATTAATTAAATGAAATTGTCATGACTACACGTGAGTAGGTAGGTAGCTGGTGTGACACCATTACGTTTACGTAGTTTGGTCAGCTACCGCCATGCACCATGGGAACACTTCAGCAATTTATTCTATCCAGAGAAGACCGGGATTAAAATTTTAGTTTAAATTAATTTTTATCACATAGGTTCACAATTTCCCAACCATACATTTTATCATTTTTTACAAAATTTACTAAAAATCTAATTTTAATTTTCATAAAAAACTTATTCTTTCTGTCTTTACTTCCAAATTTATTCCTCGGGTTTTGATAAGAATAACAACATATTTTTCTAAATTAAAATGAGTAAAAGAAATTAAACAAATGGCGGGAGAAAAAATCGAATCGAAAAGGGAAAAAAAAATAAAAAATCAAAACTGATAAAGCACTCTAAAGTTCAAACTTTCCAACCAAATCTTAGACAACCAGCAAACAACTTTCTTAAAGTTGCTATACTTTTAGGTTTTAAATCCAGAAGGGCCCCTATTTGACTCAATCCTTCCCCACACCGAAAACACTCACATCAATTTAAAAAACTTAATGGTCCGTTTGATTGTAAAAGTGAAAAATGTGTGGAAAATCCGTTCAATTCGATGTACACTGTTCGGAATTTACTTAATCATGCACATGAAAAATAAAACAATTTCAATTCCCTCCAAAGATTTGCTTTGTGTTTAGAGAGAAACTATGATAGAAATTATAATTTGATGAATTGTGCAAACTCATTTGCTGATTCTCAAACACGAACTGTAATTCATAGCTGTCCAATTGTCTAGCTTTCAATGAAAATCCACACATGGAACAAGATTGAGAGAACTAAGGCCCTGTTTGATCGGCCAATCTTTTCCATGGAAAATGAAATTTAAATTCTATTTCCAACTTTTTGCTTGTTTGATACTTTTTTTCCGTGGAATTCCTTTTCTTGCTTTTGTCTCCCACGTGCCACATTCCTTGGTTTTTCAAATTACTTTTTTTTTGGCAATTGAAAAAGATTCTAGACAGAATGGTAAAAAAATTTCACTTTTATCAACAATTTTCATATAAAATAAAGTCAAACGAATGGTATTCGGTATGGTAATTTTTTAATTTTTTTTGGCAATTGGAACAAATTCTAAATCCAATTGTAAAAAAAAATAACTTTAATGGACAATTTTCATGAAAAACTAAGCCAAACGGACACCAAACTTTCAACATTTTTCAGGTGGAAAATTATACCAATCAAACACAATTAATTACAATTCACAGTAAAACAAATTCTAAACAATTTAATTTCTTGTAATTCATTTTTTTTCACTCAAATTTCACATTTGCAATTAAACGAATCCTAAGGTTTTTACTTTTATTGTGTTAACAAGAATAATTATTTTCTTTACATATTTTTCCAAACCCTAATAGCCTACAAATACAAGTTCAAATGAGCTTGGCTCATTGCTTAACTTAATCCGGTCAAATATTTAATTAATCCAATTAATTAAATTTGGTCCATGAATTAATTAATTCAATTAATTAATTCGGGCATATTAATAAGCAACTCAATTAATTAATTGGTAAATCTCATTCTTCTAGTTCTCATTTTGTGTGTAGCTCATTAGGTTCACAATCACGATACCTAACGACATGAATTATTATTTTGATCTAATCAAAATCGATAAATTAAAACACACATTTTAATTTATCACTAATTCACATCCGTCATCCCAAATTGATATCTAGCAATATATCATTGCAATACATGTGATGGAAAATGTCACGTGGCATGACAAAATAAAACTTATTCGTTTACCATGAAACTATAATCATTTCATCAATATGATCCGATCAGTTACGAGATATGAATATATATCAATTTCAATTATCGATCATATCTTTTATCCCACTGTTAAGTCAATGGAAGTCGAAAACTCATATTCGACTTATGAGTTCATCTTGGCCAATGATTTTATTATCAACTTAATTGGATAAAATGTAGATTATAATTTCTTACTATCTAAGAGTGACGAATCATCTATTATTCATTCACAAATTTCATATGATTCTTGACATACCCGAACGATGTTGTATTAGCGACCATTGGCAGAGCAACATCCAACATCACCAGAATATGATTGTCTTCATGTAAGGCAATATGATGACCTCAAATCAAATGACCATTTTCACTACCGAACCCATTCTCGAATGAGGCGATAATTACCCGCCTAACCGAGTAAATGGGACGGGGGTTGTTGCCAAAAAATGGGTCATCTCCTCACTAATTGCCCCGTTTAAATCTAATTTCAAATTTAAAATTTTTATCAAACAAAAATAAAATATTTATCATCATTTTTAAAGAGAACATGAGTTGGTCTTAACAAATTAAAAAAATAATAATAATCATCAACTAAAGACATAAATAAATAAATAAAATACCTTGCCCCATGCCTTCCAGCTCCGCTTTAACTAGGTATGGGGGCGAAATAAGGTGACAAAAATATCCACGAAATGGAGGATGAGAAATGGGCGACCCGCCTCATATCTACCTCATTGCCGTCGCTACAATCAGTGGCTAAGTATAGGGGTCAGACCCAATATTTTTGGGGCAAGTTGTTGAGAATCCTACAATCAAAGTGTCATGTGGGCTTTCACTAAGTCTGGCCCTCTCGACCATGGCTTGGCATTATATTTGGGCCGTGTTGTTAGGCCCAAGCAATGTAAAGAATTCATCTCTTAGGCAATCTACATGAGATATCACAAGTCTCATATTGACCCAAGTTGTAAATAATTCTCTCAAAAGAGAATTTTTTTAGTCGATTTTAAATTTAACAAGAATAAAGATTAAGTTATTTCTGTTGTATAGACTATAAATTTGTTTCTCTCCTACTTTGTAGTATGTCAGTTATATTTTTTAGCGGTCTGAAAAGTTAAAGTGATCTTAATTGTCATGTTCCGTTGAATTTGTTGGAATTGATATTTCATTGTGTTTTATCTGATCTTGTTGTTTTCAGTCTCAAACTACATAGATCATGTCATAAATAACCAGCATAAACATGCATGCTTAAGATACAGCTTTGGTATGTTTAGCTGAACTTAGGGTTAAAAAATTCAAATGATCATTGAACTCTTTGCAATATTTTCTATTGACCATTAAATTTTAAAAGTTTTTTGGATGATCATCGAACTTATCAAATCGTTATCTCATTGGTCATTAAACTCTAATTTTTTTTTTTTTGAATAGTCACCGAATATATCAAATCGTTATCATATTGATGATTAAACATTAAAGTTGTTTGGATAATCACCAAACTTATCAAAATCGATATCACATCCGTCACACTATAACTCATTGTTAGGAAGTTCGATGGACCTGTTAACGTGACAACAAAAAATTGATAGGGCACATTATTGTCATTAGTTGACGACAAATCAGTTAAAAATACGCTTCCATCTATTAAAAGTAGTTATAAAAATGCTATAGAATTTTAACATTTGGCTTCTTTTTTTTTTTTTTTGTTTATACAACTGTATTTTCATCTATAAAAAATATATTTTAACCTTTGACTGATTTATTGTCAACTAACAACAATAATGTGCTTGTCAACATTTTTGTTTGTCGCGCAGCAAGTCCATCGAAGTTTTTAATGACGAATTAATGAGTGATAGATGGAATAACGATTTGATAAATTCAGTGACTATCCGAAAAACTTTCAAAGTTTAATGGCAAAAATGATAACTATTTGACAAGTTCAATAACAATTCAAAGAATTTTTAAAATTGAATGACCTATGATATAGAAATTTGTTAAATTTGGTAACTATTCGAAAAACTTTTAAAGATTGAATTCACCAAAGTTACAAAGTTTACTTAGCCCCTGTTTTGGTTTAGATAAAACCAGATTTTTAGTAGATTTTGATAAATGTTAATGGAATGTGTAGTTGAAAAGCTTTGGGTATTATTAAATTCGTGGATAAAATTAATTGTTAAATTTCACTTAAATTTTAATTCATTATTTGCAGCTGAACCAAGTAGGACTTGATTTTATTATTTATAAATAAAAGGTAAGTTATTCCTACCCAGGTTTTGTTAATATAATATTATTTTACACAGGCAAGTAATTAAGTAAATGATATTGCCACTCTAACTTATGTTAGTGGCATTCCAGATAGTAATTATTTGGAATCATTTATAATATCAGATGTCTTGACATAACTTTTTGGATTATTCTATGTGTACATTTTGTGATGTACACAATCTTTTAAACCCCCTACATAAAGGGGGGTCCACAAATATTTTATTATGTGTGGGTCCCCCTCCATGTGAGAAGGGTGTAAAAAATTGTGTATATCATTGTGTACACATAGCACTTTTCTAACTTTTTACATAATGCCACATGGCATTTCATCACGAGAGTATTTTAAATATAGACATTTTTTCATCAAATAATCTATTGTCACCTTTTATTATGTGATTGCATCTATTAAATTTCTTTTGATAAAGTGGCAAATCCAATTATTTGGGAGATGATGCTAGGGGTGTCTAAAAGTCGCGAACCGGATCGAATCGAATCGAGCGGTTCTTCATAAATTAAATACCCGAACGGGTACCTGAATCGAAAATCGATAGGTTTGGGTCAGGTCTCGGGTCTAGATCAAGAACCGAAACTAAATTATTTTTTTATTTTTTATATTGAATTAATTAAATTATTTTATTTTTTTCTATACAAATTAGCAAATTAATTAAATAAATTAGATTATTTCATAATTTTAATTTTAAAGCTCAAATCATTTTTAAAATCTATTAGCCCATTTTAATTTGAAACAAATGAATATACTCTATGTAGTTTTGCTGTAATATTAATATCTACCTTTTTTGTATTTGTATGCATTGAATTAATCTTATTGGACGGGTAATTATTTATATGTTTTTGAATTGGGCTACGTTAATTTGTAAAAGTTACGAATGAAATGTAATTAGTTGTATTTATGTAGCGTTGCTGAAAATATTAAAAATTTAATTATGGTACGGAACCAAACGGAACCGAACCGACCAGAACGGTTCCATAATTATATTTGGACCCGATGGGTCCATTAATTAAATTCCCAAAAGTGTTGGGTCGATTCGGATCTCTTCATAACCGAACAGAATCAACCCACGAACAACCCTAGATGATGCATCTACGTGCCACAATCAAGTGACAGCATTACTGTATTCCTGAAACTCTTTCTCTTTGTTGTTTCTCAAGTAAATCTTATCTTGGTACACTAATTATGCGGCTTTGTTTTATTGTATGTCTTACTTTCTACAATTGCACTATCAAATTGAACTCAACTTTTGCCATGCGTTAGTAATTTAAATTTAGTATCGAGTACACATTATTACACAGGTATACAATTACAATATGAGTGACGAGATTTTAACATTCTCATCCAATCGACTAAATTCATAGGTATACAAGTACAATTATGAGTGATGAGATTTTAACATTCTAATTCAATCGAGTGTAGTTTCAGCATAGCAAAAGTACGTTATTCATCTTCTTCCTTTAGATTGTGTCAAGCCATAGCCTATAACACGAAGATTTTGGTAGTACATAGTGCGTGTAACTTAAATATGTTTTTTAAAATATATTTGGTACTCAGTTTTGTATAATTGTATTTTGAAGTATGGCATTATGGGTCTTCTTGTGATATTTACACAATCATAGACTTGGGTTTGGTCTATTTCCATGGTAAATTTCAATTGAATAATCATATATTATACTACTCATAACCATCAGGACCCTTTTGCTATTTAAACGGCTCTTTTTTTTTTCGAAGAGTACTTCTTATTCACAAGCAATAAAATAAAAATAACATTAAACGGGGACGGGGGTTCTTGCCCCGAACTCGCCAGTTTGCCTTTCCCATGGAAGAAGAAGATTTTTATTTTCATTCTTTATGTCTTCTGACTACATTTACCTTTCTTGTATGATATTTTTTTTTAAGGCCCTTTCATCGGATATTAACGATAAAATGGATGGAAATCATCAACCTAAACAATACATGCAAATAAATGAAAGGGTGGGGACCAGAGGAGGGATAAAAATTTAATTAGCATGAAATTGCCACAAAATGGAGACCCAGAGTGAAATTTATCCATTTTTTAAAAGTATATTAATAAGAGGGATTTACTTTTTAATCTCTCAAAGTTTGTACACAAAAATGAGTCAAAAGAATGTATGGGGACGATATTGCTACTTGTACTAAAGTTAGGGCTTAATATGCAATTAACCTTAAAAGAAAATGTATTTTACTTACAAAATCAAGGAATAATTACATTTGAGGTCCCAAATCTATCAAACAGTTGTAGACTTTTCTTAACCTTTCAGTCGTTACAACCCTCATTCCAAACTTTTTCAACCATAGCAGTTGAGGCTCAAATGGATGGAAAACAACAAAATCACCATTAGTTGACCAATTTTTTTTAACTTTGACCAAATTCTAACCAATTTTACATGGAGCAAAATAGTAACTTTATAATTTTAAACTTGAAATAATTAAATAAAAACCAAAATGAAAAAAATAAAAATAAAAGCAACCATCTTCCCAAACCCAAA